TTTTGAAATTATCCCATTAACTAAAGTTACTTTGGATGCTCATAATCATCATATCTTAGCTCGTATATCATCTCCCAATAACTTATAAATGCTGTTGAAAAATGCTAATATTATTGCCCGACAATAGGATAGTCAATAATATAATCCATGTATTATATGAGAGCTTACCAATCGGTTCAATCAAAACTCAACTCGAGATCGAGTCGTGTATAGTGATACTTAGTTCATCAGCTTGTCAAGTCGATTTGAATATATATATATATATATATATATATATTAGTTTTTTTATAGTGAATTTATATGTATGTTCCTAATAGTATTTTTTATTATGTATTAAAGGAAAATGTATATTTTATTGAATTTTATACTAGTAAAACTGAAACTCAATTAGGCCAAAACTGGATTCATTTGCAACCTTAAAATCTTGACGTCTCCTTATCATATGGCCCGAAAACCAACAATATAGCATCTGATGGGCCTTGTGATGGATATTGTCAATTTGTTCCATCCTGGGCTTCGATATCCTGTAATATGGCCTATCTCGTAGTTTTTATGTCTGATGGGGGCTGATGAGATTTGGGTGGTTAATATGGGACCAAAGCCCATATCTATTTTAAAAGTCAGATTTTTTTTTTCCTTTTTGTATAAATTGGGAAGATGCTGCTTCATCATCATGCTTGACTGTTGAGGCGCACAATTGACGGTCATTCAGTAGTTGGAAAGTCTCACAAAAATCGCCTTTCAAAGATCATGAAGGGAAGTTAGACAAGCGTCCCTAAATCGAGTTTCAAAGTGCCTCTGAATGATCAGAAAGTATTCTAAAGACAGAGAGCAGAAAGCCAAGGAGGAAGGGGAAATTGCAATTTGCACCAGAATGAATGGAGGTGAAAGCAGAAACGTGAAGGCAAAATAAGCAGTACTAGTATTAAACAGAAGCTGGACAGCATCAAACATTAACACAAAGTGCTGAACAACAGGGCCATATTTAATTTCTCTGTTCCCTGCGGCGCCAGGAGGCACGCATTTGCACCTTAGGCAGCAAGTTCCACAAGCTCTGCTGCACAGGTTTGGTCTCGAGTGTAAACTACATCTCACCTTGCACAGTCCTCTGCAGTCTGCAACAAAATTTCAATTATATTTCAGGAGTATACCAAGTATGCAATCGAGTAGTTTCAACAATTTATGTCTTTTTTTTTTTGTTTTTTCCCTGGGGTGGCCGGGATTTAATGGAGAAGCATACCCATTAACGGTAGAAGCCTTCTATCACCTTAAAAAAAGAAGAAGAAGAAGAGAGAGACATCATAATCGTGCAATTATATGACTGTATACAGGGATTCTAGTCTAAGTTTTAAGCGTGAATTATGAAATTAGAGAAGCAAGAATTTGGCATTGAGAGATGACACTGCAGTCGTACCATTGCTTGGGGGTTCTCAGTTTCAACATCGGACGACACCTGCCACACAATATATAAGCATTTTAGTATAGCAAAATGTGTACATATTGTATTAACAAGAGGCTGCTAGAAACAGTGACGGAGCCAGGAATTTTTTTTTTTGAGGGCCAAAAAAATTTTTTTTCTAATAAAATTATCTTAATATATTATGTTCAAAATAATTTTCTTCTATTTAAACGTATGACATCTAAAAATATCAAATATTAAATTTAATTATACAGGTACGTCTATTCATAAATATGCGGTACAGTCATAACAAAAATTAATAAAAAAGATAACATTTGATTAAATATTTTATAACATCACAAATCATCCAATTTGCACATTTTGAGAAGATGCTCTCCAACATGTTACCTATATATATATATATATATATATTTATATATATATATATATATATAACCATGTAATATAAATGTAACTATTTTCAATTGAAAAAAGATAAAAGTTATGTTAACATACTTTGAAATTTCAACATCTTTTCTTAGAAGTAAATTGAGCTCTACGCTCTGTCATAGAACTAAATTCAACTATAATTGAATCATTGCTAAATTTTTCAGAAACTTCCTTTTCTATATATACAGTTAGACAATCATTCAAGAAATTATCCTCCATCTTGTTTTGGAGCTTTGTCTTGAATATTTTCATAATTGAAAATGATCGCTCTGTAGTTGCAGTTAATACAGGAAGAGTAAGAACAACTCTAATCAATCTATCAATAAGAGGATATATCATTGATTTTCTTGTCGTCACCAAGCCTTGACATAACTCATGAACACCAGATAATTCTTGCAATTCATGATGATTTGGAATGTCAAACTCAAAATGTTGAAGTTCTATTCTTAGACGTACTAGTTCTTACTCTATAAAATCATTTGGATAGCACTTCTCTACAAGTTTACAAATATCATCAATTTTGAACAGCATAATTCCATTTCTAGGATCTAAAGCAGTGCTAAAAAAAAACGATTCCACGGTATGATCATTAAACCTGCTATGTAACTCTTGCAATTGATAATCAGTTGGTGCAAAAAATATATCCATTCGATAATAATGCTCCACACTAATCTCATAATGATGACTTCAAGATGTACCATGTCTTGCAATATATTGAGCATTTATACATGAGATATCAATTTGATGTTGCTCAAAAAATAATTTAACTTTCACCAAGAAATCATTCTATCTCGAATCTCAAAAATTCTTTAGTAGCTTTGTTGTGCTTGAAACAAGATGCATTGCATTTAAAATATCTTGAGATTTACGTTGCAATGCTATACAAGGAATGAAGAGTAATTTTCGCAATGTCTTTCATAAGATGTAAAGTAAAAACAAACTTAAAGGATAACAACCGATTCAAAGCAAAATTTGCATCTCCACGTTGAGAGTATAACCTCTATCTACTGCAATGTTACTTAAAACCACACAAGTAGCATTGAACATTTTCAGTAAACTAGAAATAGAATCCAAATGAGAACGCCAACGAGTATCTCCAGCTCGTTTTATAAAGTGTCAATTTGATTAAGCCCCCTTCCAGTTTCAAGTTCACCATTAGCAATCTTAGTAGCAACTTCAATTGCTTGAGCCTCCTTTAATTCATCATTACGTTTGCTAGATGCTGTAACAATGTTGATAATGAAAAATAAACTGGAGAAGAATTAATGAATAGAATCTATTTCTCTAGAAGTTGCAACTAAAGCAAGTTGAAGCCTATGAGCCAAACAATGAATATAATAGGCATATGGACATTCATGACAGATTAAAACTTGCAAGCCATTCCATTCAAAGATGACTAATTCATATATATATATTAACTCTCATAATATAAACTAAAATTGTAAAAATTTAGGGGGGGCCAATTTTATTTTACACACATATTTACATATTATGAATTAAAATTCTCAAAACTTAAGGGGGGCCATGGCCCCCCTCTGCCCTCTCTTGGCTCCATCATTGGCTAGAAAGCAAGAGGGGCTTCTTTTACCGGAGCAAGGTAGATGACCAAAAAGAAGGCCACAAGAAAGAGAGAGCGTGGAGCCATTGTGCTAGAGGGCTCTGGAGGGTGGCGGCTGGGTAACTCCGAACTATCGAGTTGTTTGTAGTATTACTTTGCCGAGGCTACGTATTTATGGGCGTTTCGTACAGTTAATCAATGGATATTGATGATGAAAGATGATGACTTAATCAATTGCTTTGCTTGCTCAGTTAATGTTCCAAAGTAGAAGAAGCTAATGCCTTGTGCTTTGTATACATGCAATTCATCTAACCATTCCAAGAATTTCACAATAAACGTGTTTGCTGTCAGTGGATTACAATCTTTTGCCCCGTATGACAATTAATGCTATTAGTACTATATTTCTACTAGTACTTTTCTAAGTTTCTTAGTTCTCAGCACGTGCTAGCGCACTAGCTTGTTCTTTTGTCAGCATGCTGCCTATCTCCCTACAAACATGCTGTGCCTGTTCGAGGCCAATGCAATGCATCCTGTTGGAAGGATGACGGATGAGTGGAATACTTTTTTTTCCGATGACTGAGAAACTCAGACTTTTTCGTTACTAAAGTTGACCTGCGAGAAACCTTCAAAAGCCGGCAACTTTTGAAGGCTCCCGCAGACCTTAATAAACCCAAACCCCAAACCCCCCCGAACCGATGTGGGATAGAAACCCCACAGGGGTGCCCCGCTGCTAAGAAGTAAAGACCCCCCAGACACCCACTGAAATGGAGAGATCACCTCCCCGAGGTTTCTGTCTTTTTCCGATGACTGAGAAACTCAGACTTTTTCGTTACTAAAGTTGACCTGCGAGAAACCTTCAAAAGCCGGCAACTTTTGAAGGCTCCCGCAGACCTTAATAAACCCAAACCCCAAACCCCCCCGAACCGATGTGGGATAGAAACCCCACAGGGGGATGAGTGGAATACAACCGAGAAGAAAGAAGAAAGAAGAAAGAAGAAAGAAGGGCGGGTCAGTCTTTAAGTCAGTGATGGTTGCCAGAAGTCAGCGGTATGGATGTTTCCGTCTCTACTCTTTGCACTGAGGCATTAGTAACGGATGGTGACAATGCCACAGGCACCTCTCCCATCGGAGGCAATGAATTCATGATCACCATAGCCTCTGATTTTTTTTTTTCTTTTTGGATTAATCACCAAATTCTCTCTAATATTTGGTCAGTTATTTCTATCACTTGTATCCCCTTAACCGGTAGTCAAAATAAACTTTTTGTAATGACGGTGCCAGTTAAAATAGAAAGGATAATAATGGTATATGTAAAAAAAAAATGAACAGGGTTTGGGTCCATTACTTTTTTATTTCCAAAAACACCCTTCCTCGTGAAGGGGATGTTTCCACTACTACTCGTGTGATGTGCAATTAGCATTGAATATTAAGAAGAAATATTGGTCAAAGTTAACCCTGACCAAATTCTGAGCTTAGTCAATTGTAATAGAAGGCATTAGTAACTGCTGCACTGCTGGTGGGTGCACCTAAGCAAAATCCAGTTCATTACCAATTAAAAGCACGATTCACAGCATTCAAACTCAAGGATAAACATACGAAAATCAGCATTGGAGCATTTTCATTGCTTCAACGAAGATAAAATTTTGGAAAAAAGGGGCAGGGAGCATAAATCTTGCTCCAGTTATTTGTGCTATAACAAATATGGCAGAAACTTTTCCATTCAGAAAGTGAGCTTTAAGTTACGCAGATGTAAGTAGTCACCCAATCCTATGATATCTCTCCTTGAGGACGAGACCCATCACCAGAATCAACTTAGTACAAAAATTGCCTAAGATATTAGGCAGATTATAAAACCACCAATTTGGCTGGTGGAGATAATATTGGTTCCAAGTCCCTGGCACGATTCCTAGCAGCTTCCTGGGCAGCAATTACCTCCTCGGAAGGCGGTGATAATGGGTTGTCGAAAAATATATCTAGCCATGGATTGCGAGGGTCAACAGTTATCCTCTCAAGTGATCCTGCACCGGCCTCATTCAAATGTTTAACAAACTCAACCTCACCCTCTCCTCCATTCCAGCCCAAAAGTTCCACCTCCTTGAGGCATCCATACTTGCTCCTCTCCGCCACCTGCCGATGCCCAGACTCTATGGCAGCCTCGTCCCACCACATCAGTTGAGGATTGCGCTTCCTTGCTCCACAATCTATTTTATACCGGAGCACCAATTTATGCAAACAAGGTGATGCACAGAGAAATAAAACAGTAAAAAACAGGCTGCCTGATACCCTGAAACTTAATTCCAGATGGCGAAGATTCGGAAATTTTGCAAATTCATCAAATGCTCTATAAGGAAATAGGTATGGTTCACGAGACACCATGAGATCCAGATTGAGAATCAACGTCTGTACCTGCTGTAAGATAAGAAAAGGACGCCCTTTGAATCTGTAAGATACACAATGTTCAAGGTAATCACCAACTCCAAGGGAAACTGAAGAAAGTTGGGGAACATCTTGGAAGCGCATGTTGGTAGAGTGCAGTGCTCCAAGCTCATATTTTTCTTGATGGGTAAAAGAAACAAGATTCCGGGCTGCTGCTACCTCAATATGATCCAACCGAATACACCTTCTGATCTCCAATTGCTTCAACCTAAGCGGCCGACCGCCGCCACCACCCAAAATGCTCAGATTATGTAGAGATGGTGCACCAGCAATCGACAAATCCTCCAGCAGCGGACAGTCGGATAAAAGATTCAGCACGTCTTGTTCAGCAATGTCTACAGCATTCAGTCGCAGAGAAGCTAGCACCTTAAAGTAGTAACCAGCACCCGACTTGGGGAAGTTGTAAACGTCATCCAAACCCTTAACCGGTTTGTAGGTCTTACCGCACGCGAGCATGGATGATAAGTCCAACTCGAGCCTGTGAACCTTCCTGGCTGCTGCAAACTCCATCCATCGGTCGATAATGGCGGATTCATCTGCTCCCAGATCAAAACACACCCTGAATTGTTCAATCATTGGGCCTTGATGTGAAACCACCACTTGATTCACCCAGTCTACATATTTCCTCTGTTCAACATCAAACCTCTTTTGGTCATCCCGAAGAAGCACTCTGGTCTCCACGTCATCAAAGTCCAAACAGCCCCCATAAGATTTCCATAGATTGTGAAACCGGCGGGATGCAACACTTGTCCTTGCAGCCTCTTTCATTGACAAGTTCGAAAATATATCCATCATAATTGTATCCGGCAAGGTACTCGTCAGATCCAAAACCATCTCCATTCGCCTTCAAATTGATACTCTGGCGGCTACCTAATCGCCTTAAAAACGTCACAATCCGATCCTGTTTCAATTCAATCAGACTTGAAACAGTTACAGCAGTGCGACGCAGTCAAACTAGCTGGCCCTTTTTTTAAACCCTAATATCCATTTTGGACCGACACCGACACCGACACGACAAAATGCTTTGGGCGTCCAACCACTGTCGGCCCACTCCCAGACAATTACTATATGTATATATTACGATAACTATTTCTTTTTCCAAATAATCTCCAACCTAAACAGCACACTTAAATTATTATTATTATAAACGTGATCTGAATGCTGAACGAACCGGTTTGAAATTGAAAGCATTTAATCGAAGTATCAATTTGGTGCTGCCCAGAGAGGAATGAAAGGGCAGATGAAATACCATGCATTCAAGGGAGAAAATTGGTGGGCACAGGAAATTGATCAAAGGAATAACCATGTATATATATATATATATATATATATATATGTATATACACACAAGGCCAACACACTCGGACTCTTCTATTTGAACAAAATAGTATTTAAGTAAACGTAAATATTATTTTGGTTCAAGATTGGATCATGTTGTAACGTGCACATATATTTTACTGTTCGTTTTACCAATCTTCTTTACTTTTTGAAACTATAATGTTATACTAATAGCTTGATATATATGGCATCTAGGAATTGCAATTAGGGGGCGAGTCTCTGTTATTTGGACTTGGTCCAAATAACTTTCAAACATTATTGTTTGGGTCCTTGAGAGGGGGCAAAGTGAAAATTTTTATCAATATTTTGGGGGGCAAAACAATATAATAAAAATTTTTTTACTTAAAAATTTTTTTTTTTAACAATTGGAGGGGGCGGGTTGCCCCCCCTGGCCACCCCTTCCCTCCGCCCCTGCTTATATATGGAGAGCATACTTTTTTGAAGCCAACGGACGTGATTACTACAAAAATATATGTGGTGCAAACCCTACATTTAGTTTCATAGACGCAATACATCTCTAGTAAAAAAAAAAAAAAGGGAAAATGGCCAATTTCGTCCTTATACTTTTTTATGGTGTCAATTTAGTCCTTATATAATTTTTTTTTTGCCAATTTGATGCCTATGCTTATTTTGCGGTACCAATTGAGGAATGCCGCGGCGGCGCCACCATACAAATTCGATTAACCTACTAATTGAACAACTAAGCAGGGGTATTTCGGGCACTTCACTGTTAGGATAGTAACAAAAGAAGTAGAGCTGTTAAACGAACCGAGCTGTTCGTTAGCTCGGTTTGTTTCGGCTCGTTCGTGTTCGTTAAAGGCTCGTTCGAAAGCCTTAAACGAACGAACACGAACGAATTTTTGTGTTCGTTTAATAATCGAGCGAACACGAACATGTTCGCGAATTTTAACGAGCGTTCGCGAACAAGGACATAATTGTTATTTGACAAATTTTAGGGTTACTCATAAGAAATTCTAAAACTTTCCCCTTCCCTTTCCAACCTTACTTTTGTTTTCCTTCCCCATTGGCTGCTGCCGAAAATTTGTACTTGTCTTATGGCTGAATTTTTATATTTGAAGGACAAATTACTTTGTTTTATTTGTTGTTTTTATGTTAATGTTGGTTATGCAGTTATTGAATAATGGAATTTAGTCATTTAGTATTTAATTATTTTTTAGGATGATTAATGATTTGTGTGGCATATTTAAGGTCTAAAAGAATCTGGATTCGAACTTTTCGAGCGTGTTCGCGAACGGCTCGTTTATGTTAAACGAGTCGAACACGAACACGAACACGAACACGAACTTTACTTAACGAGCCGAACACGAACACAGATTTAGAGTTCAAAAGTTAACGAACGAACACGAACGGAGTTCGAATCGCTTAACGAACAGAGCTCAAACATGAGATACTCGGTTCGTTTCGGTTCGTTTACAGCTCTAAAAAGAAGTAAAATTGATGAAGGATCCAATTCTAAACCTAGGGTTCTTAATGACAAAGTCTCCAAGAGACTGTCCAAACTCCTCTCCCATGAGCAGAGAATTTAGCTCAAAATCCAGCTCTATTCCCTGAACTCAGCCAATGACAACTCCTTATTCATCATTAAATCCAGATCAGCCGAAATCACTGTCACCACCTTTTGCTCTACAACTTTGGTTCCCTCAGCAACATTTTTCACCTTTTCTTCTTCATCTTGCTTATCACCATTCACAGAAGCCAAAATGCTTTGGGCGTCCAGCCACTGTCGGCCCACTCCCAGATAATTACTATATGTATATATTACGATAACTATTTCTTTTTCCAAATAATCTCCAACCTAAACAACACACTTAAATATTATTATTATAAACGTGATCTGAATGCTGAATGAACCGGCTTGAAATTGAAAGCACTTGTTTGTTTGGACAGAGGATTATTTGTCAAAATTTATTTGCTTACATCATCATTATGATTTTCAACGCACCTTTTTATCTTTCCAATTATCTTTTTATCTCACATACATCACATCACAAAAAGTACTACAGTAAAAATATCTCAAATAATTTACAATTCAAACGGAATCGAAGTGTCAATTCAAAGTGAAATACCATGCATTCAAGGGGAAAAATTGGTGGGCGCCCCCGCGTAAATGGTTCAGCGATAGTGCTTCTTACCGGTGATCCTTAAGGTCTCAAGTTCGAGTCTCCGCTCCGCTGGGTTCCTCCGCGCACTTATCGCATTTGGATCGGATTGGGGCGTCGGACCCGAGCCGCAGGAGATTAGTCGGACCCGTAAGGATTGACTCGGGCACCCCTGTGTCGACAAAAAAAAGGGGGGGTAAATTGGTGGGCACAGGAAATTGATCAAAGGAATAACCATGCAGATATATATACAAGGCCAACACACTTGAACTCTTCTATTTGAACAAAACAGTATTTAAGTAAACGTAGAGGGTATCAGTTCAAGATTGAAATATGGTGGGAGCGTAGGCAATGTGACATGAAATTGGAAATCATGACAGTATAATCTACCTTGATCACAACAATAACAATAGAACTAATACAAAACCATTAACGGATCATGTTGGTAATCGATCACTAAATTTTTGCATTTTTCGTCTCAACTCTCAACATGACATAAAAAGAAAGTGAAAATATTACCTGAGGATGCTCACCTCGGCCATCCCGAGTGGCCGAGGTGGACTCACCTCGTCCCTCATCGGAGTTCATCCGTGTCCCGGACATCATCCCTGAGCTCGGGCTCGGCCGTTTCCATAGCATACTGTGTAGCCGACCTCGACACCCCCGCCTCAGCTGCACGCTGATGATGTCAACCCACCTGACATCATCCAGGACCAGCACTTTATCTGAAAAGCACTGGAGGCACTTAATGGCACCTGCACCATATCCTCCGTCATCACTCCCAGGCGGCTACAGTGTCAGAGTCAGACCTCCTGACAGGAGACAGAGCCGTAATGCCAGAGAGTGGGTCCCGCTAGCATGAGCCTTCCGTCTTGACCACCTCTCTTCTATAAATACCCCAGACACACTCCCAACAAGTGGGCACACTGTTCATTAACTCATTCTCATTATTCTCGTTCTCATACTAACTTGATCGTCGGAGTGATACCAGGGGAGAAGCCCCGCCACTCACTTCGGACACCGAGGTTCACTTCGGACACAGGAGTTCACCTCACTTCATCTCAGAGAGGACTGATCCAGGTCGGTCTAGGTACCAACCAAAAATCACCTCCTCAATTGGCGCCGTCTGTGGGAACGAGACTACTGTTACTAAAATGAGATCCACGCGCTCCAGAAGTGGTCGAGTTCCCTCAACTGGGGTTGGGCAGACCTCGGGAGCCCAGCAAGATCGCATCTCTGAAGAGCAAGGGTCCCCGAGGACCCAGCCTGACAACGAGGAGGCCATCGCCAAGATGGCCGAGTTCGTATCACACAACCCTACCATTTTTGAGGAGCTAGGAAGGTACCTCAAAAGACAGGGGAAAGAAAAGGCCGAATCTTCCAAGAGGAGGCCGACGAAGTCCCCTGAGGCACCTTCGGATGAAGACTCCGATGAGGGGCGTCTCTCTCGGAGTACCTCCAGGCGTGCCTCCTCCAAGGCGACCTCTAAAATTGCCTCCATCTCCCGAGCGTTTTCTCGAGGACTCCTAGGGAAACGGGCCGAGGACCCACCTCGGCGCCCCGGGGGCCTAGCTTCGGACTACATGAGGGCCCCGCCCTTTACGGATGACATCAATGGGGAAAGGGTGCCCCCGAACTTCAAACTTCCAAACTTGCACACCTATGACGGCCGAGGTGACCCCGAGGATCACCTCCGCGCCTTCATCTCCGCATTCCAACTCTACTGCGTCCCCGACGCCGTGATTTGTCGGGCTTTCCCCATTTTCCTACATGGGACTGCCCGGAAGTGGTTCTGGAGTTTGGAACCAAGGAGCATTTCCTCCATGGATGAGCTGATAGACCGGTTCATCCACCGCTTCGTGTCGTCTCGACCAATCACGAAGACTTCAGCTTATCTCTTGAACCTTCAACAGGGTCAGGGCGAGTCTCTTCGCTCGTATGCTCAGAGGCTCAACGAGGAGAATGTGCAAATACCTGATCAGAACGAGCAGGTAACTCTCGCGGCCTTTACCAACGGGTTGGTGGCCGGACTCTTCAACACCGAAATCCATCGGGATTACCCTCGTACACTTCACGAACTCTGGGAAAGAGTGGACCAGGGAATCCGAAGTGAAGATATGAATCGCATGAAGCGAGAAGCCCAAGCCTCTCGTACGGGACAAGATGCCCGGAGAAGGAAAGACATCGGCCGAGGTGAACCCGGCCCAAGTGGCACTTCAAACCCACCACGGGACCGCCGGAGTGTCTTTGACCGGATCGTGAAAGGAAGATCTTCCACCTCGGACGCTGAGCTAACACCGCTCAATTCCAGCCGATCTCATGTCTTGGCTGTGATGAGGCAGAACCACCTCGGCCGAACACCTCCTGAGATCCCTGGAAGAAGAGATAGGAGGAACTCCAGCCTCTACTGTGCCTACCATCGAGATGTTGGGCACGAGACCGAAGACTGCAACGATCTGAAACGAGAGATCGAAAATCTAATTCGGCAAGGACACTTGAAACAATTTGTCCGCAAAGATGGA